AGAATGAAAAAATAAAATTTATTTGATTCAAATACTCGATTACTTGACTATTATAAAATATAAATATTTACTTGAACCAAATAATTTTTATTTGCTTTAAATAAACTATATTTGAATCAATAATTTCTGTATTTAAAACGCGGAAATTATTGCGATTAAAACAGTTTATTTAATTCATTTGGTGTCAAAAATTATTTGGCTCAAATAAATTTTTTTGCATTTTGTTGAAATATTTCAAATTTTTTTTTTTAATTTTTTAGTTATCCAATACAACTCTTATTGCATATAAATTATTCAATTTAATAATTATATGCACTTGCAGTTAATAATAGATGAAAAAATAATTTCGATAAATATTCATTTACAAACAGTGATTATGCAAATGTAGTTATAGTTTATAAATAAATAGTAGTTTCTAAATGTATAGTAGTTATTCCTAAACGTATATAGTATCAAATAATATAGTATATGTTCCAATTAATATTTTCCTAATGTATTTCCAAACAATAAATTCTATAAAATTGATAGTTTCGAACGGTAATTTAAATCGACAATACAAATTTGTAATCGAATATTAATTAATTTAATGATTAATAAATCATATAATTTTTTTTTCTTTGAAATAATAATAATAATTAAAATAAAAAAAAAATACTTTTTTTTTTTAATTAACAAGGTGGGAATTGGAATAATTTAAGGAAATTAAATGTTATTTGCGAATTAATTGATCATTAATGAGAGAAAATGGACGATTTTTTCCTTTTAAGGTATTAACCACTCGATTCTAATCGATCGGTATTCCTTAAGAGTGCCATTTAATTATCGCCATATAGTTCGAATGAGTCACGTGACACTCTCTTGCTGATAAATTTCTATCCGTTTTCTATATACTTTACGCACTGACAGTTGAATACAAGATTTCTAGCTTAACGAATCGTTTAAAGAAAAACCGTTAAAATCCCGCCGCCACATTTTCTTCGTGGAACAATCGATTCTACTGCAATGTTAAATGACTCGATTCCTTTTCATCGCGTGAGAACAAGCGCACACATAATTAGCAAAACGAATAGTCTTCGATCTTTTACATATATTATTGCTATTAATTTAGAATTTTTTTTTTATCTTTTTATTTACTTTTTTCGATTTTTGAGGGGGAAAAAAACTGAAGAAGGAAAAAGATAAGAAAAGGGTGAAAGAAGCATCAAGTGATAGGTTGCCCTCGTTAAAATTAAATTCTTCGAAGATCTTAAGAAGCAGAGTATTAATGTCGATACCGAAGATTAAAGGCGGTTCGTTGCCATCTGTTTTAGGAGAGGTTACAACTAAAAAAAGCTTTTGAGATCACTAAAAAAAAAAAAAACACTTTCTGTAATGAATAATTAAAATACTTTTTAAAAAACGATTATTCAATATAGGATAAGGAAACAATTATATAATACTAGCATATCCAAAAATAGATTCCAATTTTACTAACGTAACCGCAATGGTTATAATCGTTTTACACAAGGTCAATCTATTTGGTTCCTTGAATTCTCTATCGCGTGACCCTGTTGTTAACTTGTTATTAATATCGCTTTCTAAGAAAAAAATCATCGTCTTGTAAATAATAAAAAAAAAAAAAATAGCTTTATGAAAATAGAAGCATATTAGTTAAATAATATTAAACGTCAAGAATTCTATATTTTCAGTCGATAATTTCATATAATTTAATTTTATATTCCTTTTCTCAGTATACCACTTTTCATAAATTACTTTATCTAGAAACATTTTCTTTTTTTGGAACAATTAGTTACAAATTTATACATTGTTGCATGTTTTATAAATTACTTAGAATTGTGTTGTTATCGTGATAAAAAAAAAAATCATTAGTGACCGACATTAATTATATATAATACATATGATTTAGTATCTTACATTTCTCCATTCGTTATTCATATATATACACTGACAATATATACATTATTATATTTGTCATATTTCTCTTTTTTAACTCTTTAAAGAATCATTATATGAATATAAGGTGATTACGAGTAACACTTTTTTTTTCGTTACCACGAAACGATTAATTTTCCATGAAATAATTATTATTCTTTTCGAAATCCTACAAATCTCATATAGATGAATACAATATTTCGTGGTATATAAGTTGTAACTATGCTGTCTCAATTTCTTCGAGAGATAATCATGAGTCAATCACTTGGTTTCTAAGCATCGTAATATGCGCGGTGTGAAACTTTATACTTATATTTAAAATGAATCACTTCTGAAGAAATGTATTTTTTGGAAATTTTTTCTTTTGTAACTTTTTTTTTTCTTTTTTAATAATAATAATAATAATTTATAATTTTTTGACTATTATCAAATAAATATTTAATTGAATCAAATAATTTTTATTTAAATTAAATAAATTGTATATATTTGAAACAAATACCTTGACTCAATAATTATTTGATACCAATAAATATTTATTTAATACAAATATAAGTATTTATTTGATATAATCAAGTATTCGCGATTATTTGAATCTGTTGAAATTACAACGATAATTTTGTATTTTCAGATTTAGGAAATAAGTTAAAGGAAAATTTCAGGGAAAGGGAAAAGCCAGGTACTTGCAGTACCTACCGGCATTTTGGGGGTTAGTCGTACAAATTCGGTCCTGCGGTATGCACATTGTACGGTGCGTCTCAGGTCAATTTCAGTCTAAAGTTATTTTTCTCAAGTTTTCATGTATTTAAAGCCAATTTCCAATTATTCAATAAAGTGTTAATTTACTCTATATTAATCCCTATTTTTATCTTTGGTACGTGTTTTATTCCACTCATTCTAGCTGAATTCCAACAGAATCAAATAAATTTTTTGTTCAGTGTAAAAAAAAAATAGAAATTTTTTTCCAACCCTTTTGGAAAAAAGAAATTGTATTAATTTTCTGTGAGCTTCTTCATACGGAAGCAACTGGTTGCATTTTTCCCAAGCTTTGTAACTATTTGCAAAGTGCCATATGGCTGGCGTACAATCAGTATTATATCATAAACCTACGAAGTAAAAATTTGCCTACAGAATTTTTAAAGAGGAAAAAACAATAGAAAATTTCGTTTGCATAATTTATTTAAATATCATAACACTGTCCCAAGACAATAATAATATATTATTTATTTCCATTTTTATGGACGATAAATGAAAACCCAAGAATTAATGATTCACAGAGTAATAGCAATTAGAAATATAAAAAGAAAAAAAAAGGAAAGAGATAAAAAATTGGAATAATGAAGGTTAAATCAATGGCGTCATCCATCCTGTTTTAATCAAGAGATAGAATTATATGGAGAGAGGGAGAGAAACGTGGGAAGTGCTGGAGGCGGAAATAAACTAAGACATGCGGACTACGCACTTCAATCCACGAAAGATTGATTTCGCCATGCGATTCTCGCAATCCGCTGTGATAATCTATATCTATGAAAGCGGTTGCAAGTCGTGATTCTTGGAATGATTCTATTGATGAAGCGCTCGTTTCATGTCCATAAAGGACCCCGCCGCGTTGTCTTTCATGTTCCCTATCGGTAACGTGCTAAGTGCTTCAAGCTTTCGAGGAATTCAATTTTACGCACATTCCTTATACTCGCAGTTCACTATTTTCCATTAAAAATTTAAAAAAAAATTGAAAATTTATCCAAATTTTGTTTAATGAAAATTTTATGAGAAAAAGAAAGAATTTATGGAAAAAATGGATTTGATTAAAACACCGGACTTTTCTCTTGGCGAGTCACCGCTTCCCTTTCACTCCTCATTCAGTGGCTATGGGTAATTATCTCAGAACCGGCAATTACGAGGAAACGACACGAGGTTATCGGCCGACTTAACCTCGAAGAGAGGAGCTTCATCGTGTGATGAAAGAATATTATCATTATTACTCTCACAGGAGAGTGTATTGTTGTTTTGCCGCCGCCAATCAGTTGTCTCTTTGTTTTAACGGACTGTTAAAAAAAATTTTCTCTTCCTTGTCGATTGCGTCCACTCTCTTTATACTTATTGGTCGTCGTCCGTTTTTTTTTTTAGTAAATTCACTCTTTTTCTGTGAAATTCAATTAAAATTTATTTGCTTAAAATACAAAGAAGAGTAGGTTAACAATTTGTTTACTGAAAATTGCTATACAATACTGAGAAAAATTCGCCTCGGGTCTTCTTCTTTTTCTTTAAAAGCTACTAGATTTTTCATTACGCCTTCTCAGTATGAAATAAATGGTCGTCGTCGTCGTGCTCATCCTTTTCAGGTCGCTGAGTTCTTTAACGCGATTTAAGTTTGTTGATTATCCACTTTTTTTTCCCCCTAACACGAGAGTGTTTGTCACTTAAGAGGTTATTGTACTGATTAGCCGAAATCTTTGTACAGTTATACTATGTATATTGTCCGATTTGTTACACGATTTTATGACTTTTCTAGTAGTCGTATAAACTATGAAAATTTTTATTAAATTCGCAATTTGCGAAACGAAGCGTAAAGATTGAAAATTATTATTTTGCAGGGCATAAAATTTATTTCTCAATCAGAATTCAGATGCAAAAAAAATTTCATTACTTTAAAAAAAGGTTTCGATTTAAAAAAAAAAGTCATGTGAAGTTTTGAAATCGTAACTATGACGAGGACTGTACCTGTTACGAGGTCAGAGCATGCGGCGTTCCACGTAAGCGAGAACATTAGGAGTTCTCGAAAACCTTTAATGTTCCCGGTTCCTCTCTGGCCGCGCTGATTGACTTCCAAGGAATGTTTTCCAAATGGCCTCGATTTGATCGAACCGAATCTCGGAAGCCAGACAATGCCTTTTTTGTTCCATATATGCGGAAACTTTACCATTTTCAAAATAAATGCTACCTTTTTTATATTCACTGAAAGCAACCAAATTTTACTGTAAACATTTTTCTCACTGTTTTTTCTTGTTCATCATTTGTAATATTTACAAAAAAGTTTTTTTTGATCTAATGATTACTTTTTTTTGTTTCAGACTTTTGGCAAGTGATGCTGTATTAAAAAACAAAAATCCGTTCAAAATGATGACGGTGATGTGTCCAAATTGTCAGCATCGATTCCCAGCTCCTGGATGCTGTAATCCAATGAGACAAGAAGAGAATAACAGACTGATGGCGCCAAAGGAGCGTATGGATTTTTACAGTGGTGGTGGTATTCTTGTACCCCGTGGATTTACCAGCGAGAATAATTGCTTTATCAATGCACCAACAATTGTTCATGGACCAACGATCATTCAAACTGGTAATCAAAATTGTCTCACAACACCGAGCTTCAGACACAATTTTCCCACCAATGAATCTGAAACTCTTAAAACAAATTCAATGGCTAATCATGTAAAATTATCACGAATGGGATACGATGATCAACATGATGTTCCTGATTTATTGCCACCATCGGCGTGCCACATTACAACAAATTGCGATCATAAAGGAGGTAGTGTCACAATTACAACACCGAGAAATCAATCCGGTGGCTGTGTTATTAAATGCATTGATTCAGGTGTTTTATTTCAATCGCCCGTTCAAATGAGGCCACATCTCTCGGGTGGTGGTTTTGTATTACAAAATCGTCTATCCACCGAATTTATGGAAGACGCAGAACCAATAATGAATGAGGAGGAGCTAAGCAATCTTTCGAGTCCAAAACTAGTCGAAAATAATGAATTCCCCTGTGGAGAATGTGGACTATCTTCAAATCCACCGAGTGGTTGTCAAGAATTACCTGGCGCAAGAAGAAATATCATAATTGACGAGAGAAATCAAAATAATTCAACATCAAGAACATGTGCCTTCAATTGTCACTCGCATTCAAATCCCGATCTTCAAATTCAAGTGAACGCAACTGTACAACTACCATCGAGTATGGGACAATGTACTGTCAATATTACCGCAACTACAAATACAGTGAGAAACACTTATGGTTATTATAATATTAGAAATTTGAATAATTTGAATGGCGGTGGACTCATTGAAACTGAGCCACATTCACCGATTGATGATTCATTTATTGAACGAAATGATGAAAATCCAAGTACACCTGTTTCATGGCTAATGCCATGTCCATGGACATTTAATAGTCAAATGATGGAAAAGGATGTCACGTATCTTGGTGAGGTGAAAAAATTATTACAAACAACCGGATGGTATCATGAAGGTATGACATGGCAAGAAAGTGAAAAACTTCTCAAGGATTCACCAGTTGGCAGTTGGTTGATGAGAGATAGTTCTGATAGTAGGTATTCGTTTGCGGTTTCCGTTCAGACAAAACGTGGTCCCACATCGGTGAGGGTACATTTTCTACAGGGACGTTTTCGCCTTGACGCTGAACCAAGACTTGCATTGGCAATGCCACTTTTTCGTTGTCCAATTAAAATGATTGAATACTATGTTGATTATTCAACAAGAATGGACGATCAAAAGAATCAAGTTTGGATTGATTATAGTGGCGAAATATATAGTCATATTTACATGACAAAACCTTTTCTCAAAGAAGTCACATCGCTCTCACATTTAGCTAGGCTCAAGGTCAATGCTTATAATTTACCGAAGAATCATCTCCCAGTTATTATTAGGAAATATCTCGCGGAATATCCATACAGCATTTGAATTTTTTTTTTTTTTTTTTTTTCATTGATGTTTTAAAAATTGACTTTTTTTTCGCATAGAAAAAGAAAGAAAAAATATTCAATTATAAAAAAAAAGACGTGATTCAATTTTTTGGAATCACAATTTTTATTCTTTTGACTGAAAATTTTTTGTACATCAATGAGGAAAATTCTATTTTTAAAGTGCTGTCCTTGTACAATGGAAAAGTATATTTTTCTGATACCCACGTTCTCAGATCTGCGAATGCGATTTCCTTCTTGTTCATTTTTGCGACGATTATTCTATTTTCACGATCATTGAAATGATTACAGAATGTATTGATCATGTTCTTATAAAGAACGAAAAATTGGAAACTAATAATAGTAATTTCAAATTAAAATTTCGTTTATTTATAAAATTTAGTTGAAATTAAACAATTTTTTGTTCAACTAAATAAAAAATTAGAAAACTGTTGTTACCAGCGTTTTTTTATGCGCTTGAAACAAAAAAAAAATATATTTCATTTGACGTCAACCCTTTGTTGATTTTTCAATGTCACCAAAAATTTGTGCATCAAAGGGTTTAATTAAATATTAAAATACTCTGACAAAAAAAAATTTTTTTTTTCTTTAATCTATCGAGTATTTTGATTAGTTTTTTTTTAAATTCAGACGTTAAAAAAATTTATTTTAATTGAAAAATTATTTAATTTTCTTTTCTTATTTATTTCAAACAAAAAAGAACAGAAATATTAGTTACAAAAAATATTTCCTATATATAGTAAAAGAAAATTTAAATTTGCAAAATTAAAAAAAGAAAAAAAAATTGAAAAATTAAACTAAAAAAATTGAAAAAATATTAATAAATTGAAAATTAAAAAAAATTATTAATTTATTTAACTCAAGGACAAAAATTTCAAAATAATGAAATTTTCTTTGATTCAAAAAAATATATTTCTAAATAAATCAAAATATAATTTGATATTAAAATTATATTTACGATTTTGAGTTTTTTGAAACTTGCAATTATTTTCCAATGGAAATTTAATAAAAAAAAAAAAATTATAATCATTAATTCAAATCTTTTGAATTTTGATATATACGTTGGTAATTACAGTTTATTGAAAATTAAACTGAGATCAATTTTAATCATATTAAAGGATTATGGAAATGCATTATAAACAATTATTATATAGTTCATTTAACAATCAGTCCAGATAAATGTTTTTGTAAATGATATTTATATCGATAGACACGTCTTGAATCAGAATCTCAAATGTTTATTTACCTCATTCATGGGATGTCACGTACAACTCTTTTTTTTGTATAATAATTTTATTAAAGTAACAGAAGCTTACAGTTCATTAAAAAAAAAAAAAAACGCTGAAATCGTCAAAATATACTCTTTAATGCTTTCCTCTTTGATTAGTTGATAATTCTGACAATGTTTCTAAGAAGAGGAAGTAGACAATTTGCAATTATTATTTTTATTACAGTGTAAAAAAAATACTATTGTTTTTACACTAATGAGACACTATTTTAAGACCAAAGACAGAATTATGGCGAAACAAAATTGTATCAGTCCTCTTTTTGTAAATGAGATTTTTTTCTAATTTGAAATTATTTAAAAAAAAAAAAAATTAGTAAAATAATTGTATTATCAATACCTGGTTGAAGTAATTTTCAATTTAGATATTTAAAAGAAAAAAAAAATCTAATTTCAAAAAGAGGCCTTTACCATAGGTAGTATTACGAATTGTTCTCGTGTTTTTCTTTTACACGATTCTTATCAAGCGTTCTTTAATTATTAGTGGCCGATAAAAGCATAATAATTATCTTTTGTGTGTGTGTCTATAAATTATTGTATTTGCCGAATAGTTTTGAAGAAAAAGAAACGTTTCAAATAACGTGTCAAAATTAATCATTAAGGATATAATTATTGATAGAGTTGGTATTATTTTAATAATTCAAAAAACTTTCTTTTTTCAAATTAAAAAATTTCAACTAAATATTTGTTTAGAAATTAAGCAAATCTTTTTTTTCTCCACAACATTTTGCATTTTAAAATCCAAGATTATGTGAAATTTAAATAAAAATTTAAAGAAAATATTTGAAAATTTGCATGAAAAAATTTTTTTTGTCTCATAAAATAATACTGACTCTATTGTTCTAAATTTAATTTCGTTTGTGGTCGTTATTATTAAGGAAAATTAGAAAATTTAGAAATTTTAAAACATTTTTGCCTTTCTTGACATTCTAAAATTAGAAAGCAAAAATATAATGTACTTGAAGTTTTAAGAATTTTTCTTTTAACTTTTGGTATATTTAGCTATTTATATTTATTAACTATTTGACTGTAAAATTTGAGGCTAAATAAATTTCCCATAATTTTAGTAGACTATTTCGATCACACTTCTATAATTTTTGAAAAGAATAAATTTAATAATAATTTTCGTCAGGGATGAAAATTAAAATTTGTTTTTGAATATTTAAAAAAAGAAATTACAAAATATGAATCGATATTCAAAAAATCCCTTCCATTTGAAAAAAACCAAAAATTTTTGGAACTCATATGATAGAAATTTAAAAAAAAAAATGAAAGAACTGAAACATAAACAAATAATAATTTTTCATTCCTGATTATGATCTATTTACTATTTAAAAAAAAACTATACAATTTTTCGATAAAAAAAATAACAATTTGTAATGAATTCGGGATACGAGTAATTATTATATCTTCAATAATAATGTACTGTACGCTTCAAAAAAAATTAAAAATACTATACCATGTCCTCGTGCACAATGAAACAAATGTATTTGATTAAAATAATCAATTGACTAATTTATTTGATAATAGTCAAATCATTATTTGAATTAAATTTTTTTTTTCATTGTGAAAGATTGAAATTTCTTCTCAGCGAGAAGATATATAACATATTTTAATCAAACGACAAATTAAATCAGAACGCAATAGATAATACAATATAAAGAAATATATATATATATTTTTAATCACATTCAGTAATAAAAAAAAATAGAGAAAGAAAGAGAAGCAAAAAAAGAAAAAAAAACAAAACGCATAGGATTTTACATAAATGAAAAATAGTTTGTGAAAACTTCTGAGCATTTTGTTTGTTTTTTTTACCGATATTTTAGAAGCAGTCTCTATATTAGAGACGTTTGCGACTTATAGCGTTTCAAAGCAAAATGCGATTGGGTTTTTACGTTCAATGAAATATTGTTAAAAAAAAAAAACCAACGTTAATCGTGAAAACAATCTGTATATATAAATATTGTGTATTTTCTCGAGAGTTCATTGAATGAATTGTTGATATAATGTTGTTAATATTGTCATTTAACGATATTAAAAAACACAACAACAACAACAACATTGTGACTCTTCGAGACCCTCAAACTGCCAATTAATTAATTAGTTAATTCAATAATACGTTCCCAGTTCAATTCGATAATTATTATTATCGAATTGAAATTTTTTTCGTGAAATGACGTTAAACGAGTGGATTGTTTTTAATTTACTTGACTGATACACTTTGGCGTGAAATTATAATATGAAATTTAATTGAAATAATTTTCAATTCATTTTTTTTGGCCCTTACAGCTAAAGTTATTATTATTATTATTATTATTCCGAATTCACTCGTGTTCTACGTCAGATCTTGATCTAATTTTATCTAGGATAGAAGAGTATAAGGTGTTTCGAGAACATGTATTTTATATTACAAAACAAATGAAAATGTATAGATCAGAAGTTAAATTATTACAGAATTATTTATTACCAGTATGTGTTTGCGTTTTTATTTCTAATTAACCCTTCATATATTTTTTTTTTAATATTGTTTAAAGTATTTTTTATCTTATTTGTAGTGAATGCCTCAATAAAAAGAATGAGCAATCATTTTCTATATAAAATTGGATAAAAATTACGAAAGATTTTCATAATTGGAAAGAGAGAGAGAGAGGAACATAAAATTTGTCATAATCATTATTAGAAAAATAATTTTCACTGAAACTACGTTTAGAAAAATGTTAATTTTTTTTAATGCCTATTACAAAGTGTGTTGAAATAATATGTTAATTATTGTTTTCCTGTTTTTGTAATCTCTTTTTTGATTTGAAGTTACGTCAATAGATTTTTAACTTTCTTAAGGGCAGGCAATATCATTTTTAGTTGCAGTTACTCAATTTTTTAACTGATGAAAAGATAATTGACAATTTTTCAGAAATTTAATTCAATATATTTTTTTTAATTCTAAAAGTAATTGAATTTATAATTATAAATAATAATTACTAACTTACAAAAAAAAGTAATTATTATTTATAATTATAAATTCAATAGAAAAGCAATTTACTTTGAAATTTTAAATTTAAATTGAAAACAATAATGAAATTTACAAATTGAAGTTCCGGGAATCTGACAAATATTTGAAACACGCAGACAATTTTTTTTTTTTTTTTTTTTTTATTTGATTTTTGTCAAGTTTTGTTATCTTTTTCATGAGGAATTTTATTTGTATTGTCATCACGTAGATATGATAAATGTGCGTAACTGTTTTTCTTAAATATATATTATATACGCACACTACCTTATTAATGACAAACGAATTTGTTACGCAACTTGATATAGGCCTCGGATTATATTTTTTTATTGACATTCGATGAAATGTGGAAATTTTTCGCCTTGTAAAGAATGCAACAAAAATTAAATGCTAAGATATGCATTTTTCATTCAGTTATAAACATGCTATTTCACGTATTTCTTATATATTATATATATATATCAAATAACTGGTAATTTATTCTCTCTTTGAATAAATAAAAGAGTGGGGGGGGTTAAAAAAAGTATATTAAAGCGATTAGTGTGCCAATAACGGTCTCAATAATGATACCAATTGAACGTCTAATCTGTTATTTTTCAAAGTATACTTTACTTTCCAAGAATGAAGTAATTATAATGTATAAGATTATTTCATTTGGGTCAAAAGAAAAATTTATTTCTTCTCAGTAAATTGCTTTTCAAAAATTTACATAAAAATATATATGAGATGTTTGAAGAAAAAAAATAATCATTAAACTTTTCAGTCAAAGAAATAAACAGAAATTGAACAATTTTATGTTTCTCTTTTATCATTTCAAAATGAATTAATTTTTCATAGATTAATTTTTTTTTTTTTGACAATTTATTACAATATTATAGGTGGAGAATTGATTGAGAGGAAGTGATTGGAACCGGAAATTGGAGTCATATTTTTTTTTTTTTTTTTTTTTAAGGATGTTCTAAACGGAAGTTCGTTAGGACGTTGGGCAATTTCGTGGAGAAACTGCAGTCGTGGTAGGCGGGCTTTGCGACCAGTAACGATACGAGGAAAACGATGAAAATCACTTAGCGAGAAACCCAGGCGTGGATAAGTGTTTCCAATTGCAACGACCAAAACGAGGGCCGGCATTACGACAAGAAACCTACATTTGAAACCTGTCGTGTCGTCCTTAACTGCAAATCAACACTCACAAAGAAAGATAATTCTTTCAATTGTGTATCAATTTTTCATTTCTTTTTTTTGCATCTGTTCAAAATCAACAGATGTTTCAGAAGAATTTTTCAAGACTTCATTTTTTTTTTTTTGTATCCTTTTAAATTACAATTTTAAAAAATCAAATCATTAAAAAAAAGTGAAATCAATTTTCATACTTTTTATGATTTAGATCTAGATTTAAATTTTATTATATTTAATAACAAAATTTTATTCTTTGTCCAAGAAATAATTTTTCTTTTTCGATTTTCAGAAGTTTTTTTTTTCTATTTAACAATTGGTTTTTTTTTTTTTTTTTTTATTTTCTCCGAACAACTAAAATGAGTTCTTCGGAACTTAAGTGTCGCCAATGCGGAAGTTGATCTCTATTTCCATACGATCGTGAGTTCAAGGATTGGAATTCATTCACGACCATTTTACCAGGAATAAAATGTAAATTATTCTTGTTGATGGTCTTTTATGAATGCTTAGCATTAATGACATTCTTATATTTTTATTATATGAATGTGGCATTTTTATTGTTTTTTAATTACTATAGTCAATGAATAATTATACTCATAGTTTATTTCTAATCATTTAAATTATTATTGAAAAAAAAACATTCTGAATGTTTACAAAAAAATATTTTTTTTTACTGAAGCGTCGAAAAAAAATATCAATTTATTAATAAATGCATTAATTTTTGAAATTAACACAACTATAACTTCTATTTTACAAAACTTTATTATATTTGAAAGTTCAGTTTAATATTTTTTTTCGAATTTTTATATTATGTTAGTGTCACGATGGAGCACTTGGTCCCATTGAAGTAATATATTTACTGAAAGCTGCGTAAAGATGACCAGCTCTTTGAACTTCCTCCGCTCTGGAAAGTAAATTAATTTTTAATTTATTGAATTTTACATTTACTTACAAAAATGAGACGAAAAAAAAGAAATTAAATTACAAAAAAAGAACTTACTTTAAATCGTTTAGATCACGTTCCTTGTGAGCAATAATTTCTTTGAGTTGCTTCCTTTCTTTCTCCTTTTCTCGAAGCTCTTCGGCATGACTTGTCTGAATTTCATTGATTTGTGTATTTAACGTTGTAATTTGCAACGTCATTTTTTGTAATTGAATACTTTGCTCCCTTAATCTAGATCGTTCCTCTATTAATTCATCTTTAAATCTTTCGGCTTTCTTTTTTTCCTGATCAAATTCTTCATGTAAAAGATTATAACGCCTTTGTGGTTCAACTAATTCGGCTTCAAGACTTGCATTTTGCCGTTGAAGTGTTGCAATTGTTCTTTGTGCATCATTATATTTATCTTCAAATAATTCCTTTTCTTCTTTTACTTTTAATAATGAATCCTCAATTCTCGCTGATTTTAAAGAAATATGTTCTAATTCTTTGAGTTTTGCTTTTAAATTCGATTGACTTTCTAAAGAATCTCTTAATTCGTTTCTTATTTTTTGTAATTGATTTTGACATTGTTCGAGAGCATCTGTTGAATCTTTTAAAGATTTTTTTAGAATATTCAATTCTATTTTATGTCTACTATCGCGTTCATAGAGTTCACGTCGTAGTCGGTGGATTTCTGTTTTACCTAAAAATTCAAAATTTAAATTAGATGTGCTAGTAAAAATTATTATTTTTTTTTTATGTTTTTTTGAAATTACCTGTGGAAATGAGATCTTCGTAGGCTCGAGTAGAGGACAAGAGTTTTTCCTTCAAGGCAAGAATTTCTACGGAACTCTTGTGAATATCTTTTTCGTATCTACGAACTTTTGAGTCAATATCTTTTTTTAATGCAACAGTTTTAGCGAAAGAGTCTTCTAGATCTTTTTTACTTTTTTCCAAAATCTCTTTCTCTTCCATATGATTTTTTTGTAGTTCATCGATCTCTTTTGCCTTTTCCAAAGTTAAATTCTCCTTTTCATTTTTCAGTCTTTCAATTTCCCTCTCCAATTTATTGATCTGTGACTTGGAATCAATTAATTCCGACTGTTTTGATTTAATTTCATTCGTTAAAAGATCTATCGCAGATGTTCTCTCATGGAGAATTTGATTGAGTTCCTTAATTTTACAATTGGAATTTTTGTCGTCGACCAAAATCGTTGATTTAGAATTTGTTTCTCCTGCCTTGGTGGTTACTAAAGTTTTCAAACGAGAATAATCAGAATCTGAATCACTCAAGGATATGAATCCATTCTCGTTGTCTTCGGATACAGGAAGTAGAATTTTCTCTCTGTCTCTCTTTCGTATTCTTTTTTTTAAGGTTTTTGTTTTATTAATTACTTTGTTGTTGTTGTCACTCAAGGAAATTGGACAGACATTTTCCTTCAAGGCATAATTTTTTGCTATCTCAATGTTTGTCTTGGAAATTGCTTGTCGTCGTTTATTCTCAAAAGTGCATTGCTCAATGGATTCCATAAGATCGTCGGGTAAACAATTTCCTCGAAGATTGAGGCTAATTATTGTTTTGTTTTCTTGCATCCCATTTAAAATGGTTCGTCCACCATCGAGGCCAAGTGTATTCCACGCTAAATCAAGTGATTTCAATGATTTATTGTATTTTAATACTTTTAATAGAGCCTCCGCGCAATGTGGAGAAATTTGATTATATTTCAAATCAATTTCTTCAATATTATGATTCTTTGAGAGACCATCGCATAAAATAGTGAATGATTCGACATCAGAACCTAAACTATTCCATTCGAGATGTAAACTTTTTAGAGTGTTATTACAGAGAAAAACTTGACCCAATTGTTGAGCAATGGGACCGCTAATACTGTTGCCTTTTAGATTTAAATTTGTTACACTGGAACCATCGCAAAGTGCATTGAGAATAGTATTCAATCCTTTTGGTAGTAGCATACAATCACTAAGATCAACGTGTTTTATCAATGAACTGGACACTAACATTTGACTCAAAACTTCACATATTGGTATTATTATCGAAAGGCAAGATAATTTTAATTCTCCCGTAGAACTGAAATTAAAAACAAATTTAAATTATTTTTGTTTTTTGTTATATGCAAAAATTCGAAAAATCAATAAATTGACACGTTGATAATTTAAAAATACAACAACAATAATAAAGTTATTTAAATATCTTATATAAATAAAAACGTTTTAAATTAAACAAATTTTTTTTTTTTAAATTTACCTGCCAAGTTTGATAGCCTCTGAAACTTCAAGTGGCGCCAAAACTCCCCGTTTTTTACATATTTGCACAAACAACTCGTAATCATTCAGCATTTTTACAAAAACACTTATGAAATTTTTAAATCTCTTCGTAAAAAACAAATAATTTTGTACTTTAAATTAGACAAACTTTTGATTTTGACATAACAACCCTCAACTGAACACATGACGCCAGCAGAGTTACCACCTGCAAAAACACAACAGTGCCGTATCGAAAACTTAATTAACCCTTTTCATAATAAAAATCATCATTAATCTAAAATATATTTATCTAAAATATATTTATCAAAAATATATTTATATAAAATATATATATTTAAAATTTTACAAAAGACAACAAAAATTATATATAATTTTAAAAAACATTTTAATTGAATTTTGTATTTTAATACGCCTGACAACAGATTACCCAACTTACACGAGTGTCTAACTTTCCTTTAAGTATTTATTTTCGAAAAAAAACCCCATTAATTAATTGAACAATATCAAAATTAATTAGAAACCAAATATTACAGTATTTATTTTTAATTATTGTTTTATCAAAATAAATTTTTCAAAAAATTCAAATTTAAATAAAAGTTTGCTCATGCGCAGAAACTAACCTCTGCAAAAGTGTCATGGCGATAGAAGTATTTCCTGTATCGCGACATCCGGTGCGGTCGCGGTGTTGACGCGTTTACTGTGTGTGAAAAAAGTTGTATTTTCTCTTTTTTAAAAATGAGTTTCAACGATGATAGTGGATTACACGATGATGCTAATGATAAAGATGATAGAGCTCATTTTGTAGCACCGATTATTCAAGATAATGCGGATGGATGGGGTCCTTTTGGTTTACTTGATCCATTTAAAGACATGCCGTACCAGCCATTTTCCAAAGGAGATAGGCTCGGCAAGGTAAGACATATGCCACGAGAATATTTAGAAACTCTATTTAAATATGTATTTCAAGTTTTTATAATTGTTTATCAATTTTTCAGATAGCAGATTGGACGGGATCTGCATTCCAGGATAAGAAATTTACAAGTAAGTTATTGTTTTTTAATGTTGACAATCATAACCTCAAATGATTTAAAAGGAAACCATGGGAATTGCCTGCTTTTTTGCTTTTAATTCAAATAAAGTAGAATACTTTATACAAAACAATGTAAAATTGTTATTTAATTTGCTCTTCAATATTATTATCGTTGTGTCTATTTAGCCCGCTAACGGGAGGAATAGTGGCGATAGATTATTTAGCCCGTTAGCGGGAGAAATGCAAGATTTTGGATATTTAGCCCGCTTATTTTAAAAATCACCAAAATGAGAACTATTTAGTTTGCAGTAAGTATATTTAAAATATTTTTTGTTTTTCTTATTTACTTATTCTAAAATAATAAAATATATTTTATTATATAAAATGTATGTTAAGTGCAATTCAAAATAAGGCAATCGTTTATATAAATATATTAATGTGATTTAATACAAAGTTTATTTGCTCCAAAATGAATTGTTTTGGTAGGGTTGTTTATTTAAAATATATTATATTATTTAATTTAATTATTTATTTAATTAAAGTTGTGGTAAAAAAACAAGTTTTTCTTAAAACCAAATTTATTGTAAGAAAACTGTTTAACTACAGGTATATTTATTTTTTAATAAATTATTAGAAAGTAGTTTATGGAATTGTTTTCTATTCAAACTTTAAATTATCAAATAAAAATTAATTTTTGAAATACAATTAAAATTCTTGTATTTTGTAAATACGTATGGGGCATTCCACGGGAAATTTTCATTCAAAATTTTTTTTGTCCGAATCATGTTTTTTTAAATCTATATGAAAAATAAGAAAATACGTATTTTTTTTATTTTTTGTGATAAAAATAAAGGAAGTTATGATTTTTTGAAATTTAACGTCAACAAAGGAAGTGTGATTTTTCAACATTTTTATAAAACTGAAGTTACCAACGTTGATTCAACGAAAAAAATAAAAGATAAGGATTCTAATTCCCATCAAAGAAATTTATTTATTTTTAACCCTTCATAAACTATTTTCTAATAATTTATTAAAAAATAAATATACCTGTAGTTAAACAAGTTTCTTACAATAAATTTGGTTTTAACAAAAAATTGTTTTTTTTTACCACAACTTTAATTAAATAATTAATTAAATTAAATAATATAATATATTTTAAATAAACAATCCTACCACTTCATTTTGGATTAAATAAACTTTGTATTAAATCACATTAATATATTTAAATAAACGGTTGCCTTATTTTGAATTGCACTTAATATACATTTTATATAATAAAAAATATTTTACTATTCTAGAATAAATAAATAAAAACAAAAAATATTTTAAATATACTTACTGCAAACTAAATAGTTCTCATTTTTGTGATTTTTTAAAATAAGCGGGCTAAATAGCCAAAATCTTGCATTTCTCCCGTTAGCGGGCTAAATAATCTATCGCCACTATTCCTCCCGTTAGCGGGCTAAATAGACACAACGATTATTATTTTTAAAATTAGTTTCTTTGACATTTATCAACTATAAATTTAATAAAACTTGTTTTTATATATATATTTTTTTTATAAATCAATATATAAGTCTATTTTTTATCATTTTAATTGAAACGTTAAAAAAGTAAAACAAAAATTATAAAAAATAAATATTTCTGATTTATATAAACATTTAAGCTAATTGTTTGAAATTCAAAAAATTAATTTATAATCGATCAATTTGTTACAAAATTTAGTAGCTAAAATAAAAATTGAAACTAAAAAATTAAATAATTTTTGGAAAATACAAAAATATTTTTGATTTTTACATTTAACATTTTTTTTTTTTTGTAGATAAATATGCATCGCAATTTGGTTCTGGAAGCCAATACGCTTATTATCACGACGAAGATGAGTCGACATTCCACTTGGTGGACACCACGAGGGTACAGAAACCTCCATATCAACGTGGACGTTATGGCAGACATAATCAACGCAATATGCGCGGTCGTGGCGGTCAACGAGGTGCAATGAATCAGATGCAAGCTCTAGGCAAATTGAAATTACGTGAACGTGAACGTAAGGGACAAACAAAACGTTGGGGTCGTCAGCAAGGTTTTCGAAATCATAAAAATCAACCACCAATTAAAATTCGCGATGCTTCTGTCACTGTACGTCCCGATTGGGTAACTATCGAGGAAATGGATTTCCCACGATTAGCAAAATTATCTCTTCCTGGTGTTAAAGACGGTGAGGATGTTCTCTGCTGTGGCTCTCTCGAATATTATGATAAATCATATGATCGTGTCAATGTGAAAAATGAGAAACCTCTACAAAGAATTGATCGTATTTTCCACACTGTTACAACAACTGACGATCCAGTGATTCGTAAACTTTCCAAAACTGAAGGCACTGTTTATGCAACTGACGCTATTCTCGCCACAATTATGTGTTGCACACGCAGTAATTATTCATGGGATATCGTCATTGAAAAAATTGGCGACAAACTCTTTTTTGATAAGCGTGACAATACTGAATTCGATTTACTCACTGTTAATGAGACAAGCGTTGAACCACCGCAAGATGATGGCAATTCATTGAATTCACCGAGAAATTTGGCTCTGGAAGCCACATTCATCAATCATAATTTCTCCCAACAAGTTCTTAAATCAAACGAACCACGTTATAAATTCGATGAGGGTAATCCATTTATTTCCGAAGAGGAAGAAAGTGACGTTGCAAGTGTCGCTTATCGTTATCGTAAATGGGATTTGAACAATGGAATTGTATTAATTTCAAGATGTGAACACGATGCCGTTATGCAGGGTCCAAATAATGAAACACAATTTTTAACTGTAAAAGCATTGAACGAATGGGACTCAAAACTCGCTAATGGCGTTGAATGGCGTCAAAAATTGGATACACAACGCGGTGCAGTACTCGCCAATGAATTACGTAACAATGCCTGTAAATTGGCAAAATGGACAGTTCAAGCACTTCTCGCTGGTTCTGATCAAATTAAATTTGGATATGTTTCAAGAGCAATGGTACGCGATTCAAGTAAACATGTCATTCTTGGAACACAACAATATAAACCGAATGAATTTGCCACTCAAATTAATCTCAATATGGATAATGCTTGGGGTATTTTGCGATGTATTATTGATATTTGCATGAAACAAAAGGATGGCAAATATTTGATAATGAAGGATCCGAATAAGCCAATGATCCGTCTCTATGATATTCCTGATAACACTTTCGAGAGCGAAGGAGATGAAGATGACGAAGATGAACCTATTAATGATGCCTTTCAAAGTTAACAGACACGTCTAAAATCATCTACATTTGATTTTCTACAAGAATCTACCAATTTTTTTGCAGTAATTTATATTGGCTAAAAGGACGACGATTTTTTTTTTTCTATCGTTGTGAAAAGCAAATTATTTATTACTGTGATAATAAAAGAAAGCACAATTTGGAAGTCGCTAAATATCTTGAGATTTATTTTGTTTCAATACATTTCGGTAATTTTTATTTTCTTTATATTTTATTTTATTACTTTACATTGAATAATTTACGTTTTTAACGAAACATTTTTTTTCAGATTGTCCTTTTTTTATCACTATATTATTTACTATATATTCTTTGAAGAGGCAAAATGTAAAATTTTTTTCAAAACAAAACAATTTTTATTAAAGTGTTTATAATCAATTTGTCATTTTATTGTTAATATAATTAAGGATCTAATTCTTTTATAACATAGGTAAATTTACGGATAGCAGCAGCCACCATTTGATCGTCGATTTCATAATAGAGAACAAATCTTGCTGAGTGTGGAGTTAAGGCCATTCCTCGGACTATTATTTTATCATCATTGTGATTGGTGCTTGTTGTTTTTAATCGTTGGACAAATTCTCGAGATGTAATTTTTTCCGAAGATATTTTTACAAAAATCATATTTGTCTGCACCTCATTTAAATTAACGGATATAATTTTTGAATTAAGATCATTTATTGCCTTTGCTATTTTATAAGCTCTTTGATGATCGTTAACTAATAATGGTACAATTTCATCTAATGCAATTAATCCAGCTGCGGCAAGAATACCAACTTGTCTCATACCACCGCCTAAAACTTTTCTTATTGATCTTGCATTCTCGATAAATGTTTTTGTACCACAAAGTAAAGAGCCAGCGGGTGCTCCTAAACCTTTACTGAGACAAAATGTCACGGAATCAAATTCAGATACTATTTCCTTAACTGATAATTTAGATGCTATTGAGGCATTCCATAATCTAGCACCGTCCATATGTAATTTGAGTGAACGTTTCTTTGCTATTGATGATAATTCATTGATCCAGGATTGAGGTACAATTTTACCATTAAATGTATTTTCAACAATTACCAATTTTGAAATTGGCTCATGTTGTCGATCGCCTTTTATTTTTGATTGAAATTTTTTTAGATCAAACGTTCCATCACTATTATTTGGCAAGGGACAAAGAGTTACGCCGGCTATTTGAGCAGCACCTCCTTGTTCGTGTAACACTACGTGCGAATCTTCTCCGCAATAAGTTTCGCAACCTCGAATGTTACAATGATTCATTACTGAAAGATAAAATCGTAATAAACGTAAGTAAATAATTAAAATTTTTATATTAAACAGAAAGAAAAATAACTTTTTCATTGAAAACTATAAAAAAAAATGAATTAGAATACAAAAAGTTTTCTTAAAAGAATTTTTAATTTCAAATTCTGTAATTCAGTTTTTAATTTATTAAATAAATAAGTTTATTAAATTATTTAAATTTAGGTTTTTTTTTATAGATAACGTTTAATTAATTTATTTTTTATTCGAAACTTACTAGCAATTAAATTTCCCATAGTTCCTGAAGTGACAAAAATAGCAGCCTCTTTTCCGAGTAATTTTGCAGCTTTTTCTTCAAGTTCTGTCAATTAAATTATAATATTGGCGTAACATTTTTTTTTTTTTTTTTTAATTAAAAATTTATTAGTTCTATAAAAATTTTACTTTTAACAGTTGGGTCTTCTCCAAAAACGTCGTCTCCTACTTCAGCTAGAGACATTGCTGTTCTCATTGATTTTGACGGTTTGCTAATTGTATCGCTTCTCAAATCCACGAGAGTAATCTGAAATAATAATTAAATATAAATTACGAAAAAATTAAATGAAGAAATTTTTTTTTTACTTACAGTGTCTTCTACACACGTTTCAGTTTCAATTTGAACGTACATTTTTGTAAATTATAATTCTCAATCTGAAACAATAAATTTTTGAGTTTTTAAAAAATTTTGTTTTTAAACCATAAAAAGAATTTTTAAAAGATAAATACAAGGGACGATACTTTTAGTCAAAACGATTAAAATCATCAAAAATTTCTATTTTTAATTTAATAAACTAAATCTATAGATTCAGTATAACAGAATTTATCACTCGGTGAAATATCAATACATATATAGGAATATATCAATCCTCCAAGTCAACAAAATAAAATTAAAATCCTTTTTTAACGTTTCGACGGTACAACCGCCCTCTTCAGAAACTGAAAATTTTATTATAATAAACGTTAAAAAAGGATTTTAATTTTATTTTGTTGACTTGGAGAATTGATATATTCCTATATATGTAAATCTATAGATTATTAAAAATGGTAAAAAAAATAATAATTTTTTTTCTATAAATAATATGATAAAAAAAAATTTTATTTTCAGAAATGAAAACAGATTTTCGGAAATGAACAAGTGAAAATTGATGCTCAACTATTATTTTACGTCGATAGACTTCAAATCGTAATTAAAATAAAGTGATTTGCTTTAAAAGGTTAATTTTCTTAATCTTTGAGTCATCAGATGAAGTTCTTTGGTTTTAAAACACATTGGTAAGTAAGAGAAAAAAAAACAACTCCTTTATAATTATTCTATTCATCATTTTTACAATTTAATTAAGCAATTATCGTTTTTTTTTATGATTGTCTTGTAACAAGACGTGTTTATTGATAAACAAAAAAAAAACATGAAATAATGTGTATAAGCGATAAATAGTGTTTTATGGGGAAGAATCGAATATACGCACGGTATTTGACTTAATTACGTTATTAAATATCGCGGCGATACAGGTTTTCAATCCTTTTTTGCTCGTAAAGAGTGAATCATTTTGCGAACAAGGCAATGATCACTTTCCTGCTCTGTTGGATTTCAAAACAGTATTCATTCACTATATGGGATTGATAGTCCATTTATGGTCACTCATAGTGGTTGTCGCGACGAAAACATGACCTTAAACTGAATTTCAGCTTATACAATCTTTTTTTGATTGCATGTGCAAAATATGAGATACATTTTTATTTTTTAATTTTATATGAGAAACTTTAATAGCAATCTCGTTCTTAAAATACAATAGAAAATTTTTCTATATTTATTAATTTTTAAATTAAAATATTTATTTTCATATAAAAATAAATCCAGTGTAGATGAAAAATAAATATAATTTTAGGATCAATTTCTTTAATTACTATTTATGGAATTAACATAATATTTATTATTTTTCCATTAATAAATATTAGTCTCTCCTCCATTTTTCCATTAAAAAAAAAATATATATATTTCCAACTTTTTATGGTAAAAGTTTTTTTTCGATTGATTCACTAATACGAGAAGTTCTACATACCTAATAAAGTAATTATTTCAGGGCAAGTAACTAACTAGATTAACAAAAAATATGGTCCGAATTACCAAATAGGATATAAAATAGTTTATCTATATTTAATTGGAGACAAATTTAATTACCTAATTTACAATGATATCAATGTTTTATCAGTTAATATTTTTTAGATTAAAATTTAAAAAAAAGAACTTAAACAAGGTATAAATAATAATTAATATTAATGGAAAATCAAAATAATATTAAAATAAATAAATTATTGCAAATAATATAAAATTTAAAGCTATTTATATACATTATTTGTATTTCGCGTAGTATTAAAAGTCAATTGGAAAGTTTTTATAATAATGAACATATTAATTTAATCTTACCAGTGACTTTCAGAAGGTAAACGCTTGAATCGATAAAAACTGGTTTTTTAAAACTGAAAGTTAATTTTAACTCTTTTAGGCAGAAATTTTTTGCAGATTTTATAAAATGACGGTGTAATGTAATTTTGAGTATTTATCAAAAATTTTTGGATTATAAAATTTTATTTAAAAAAATATAATAATCCACTATTTGTTGCGCCGTCATAAGTAAAACTGACGTCCCCACTTAGTTATATCATGTGATGAATTAATTGGCTAATTAACTTCGATACTTGCACTTATGTATATATATACATATGTATAAAATACACATTCACTGAATATACTAATTGTTTAATCTTCATCTATTATTTTATCGTTGCTTATCATTTTGCTCTTAATAAAAGAGAATGATGTGGAAACTTTAAACTGATAAATTTTTCTCTTTAATGTTATCATTTAGTAATATAAATTAAAACTCAAATTTCAAGTCTTTTCATTATTATGACAACAAAAAATTCATAAGTAATTAATACTAAAATAAAATTTTTATTTTGAAATTTAAATGAATTTAATTTTCTTATGAATATTACTTTTTTATTTTTTAAAAAGTATAATAAGTAAAATAATTAATTTTTTTTACTTATTTGTTTAGTAATATTATATTTATTTAATAATTACAAATTGAAAAATGGAGGAGAAATACTAAATATTTAGTAATTACAAAAAAATATCATCTATAATGATTGATCATTAATAATCAATTTTATTTGAAGGACGTGAAATTAGACAATTTCTATTCGTTTTTCCATGTTAAAAATTAATATTTTGTACCAAATTTCAAGAAATGAAATATAGACAAATTGTTAACAATAATGAAAAATTTATTTTTATTTATTATTGTGCAAATAAAACAAAATATATAATTTGTCTATATTCACGTCTTTCACATATGTTTTAATTTAAAAAAATTTTTTTTGTCAATTTGTAAAATTTCTAAAAAATTTATGTTACTTAAATAACTTAATTCTTAATATTTTATAACTTTTATTTAACTTTTTTAAAAAATGTGATACTTTAAACAAAATTTGAGTATTTTCAAATTCAAAAAAAGACAGTTGACCGGACAGTGGCGCGCCAAGCGGCAAATTTGTGAACCTCAAGCATTTCAGTATAACCGACAGCAGCAAATCATTCTCATATAAAAGCATGCTAATTTTGACAAACTCCAATTTATTTTTAATTGTATAAAGTAATTTTAAAACTTATTAAAATTCAAATCATGAAATTAGTGTTGTCGTACTTGAATTAAATTGCAAAGATGAAGTAGTGAAATTGTGCTGACCGACAGAGCTGGAGTGACAGTGAGAAAAATGAGTCCGCGATAAAGGGAGAGGGAGAAGAGGTTAGCTTTACTGGGGGAAAGAAAGAGAGAGAAAGTGTAGTTGAATTAAGAGGGAAACAGGGAGTGAGAAAGAGAGAGAGAGACAGCAAGCTGGAGAACGCAAGCAATATGGGTAGAGTCGGATAGCCGGGAACTTGGATTCCGTGTCGCGAAGTAGTGTGTCGACCGCCAAGCTATACATGTGCGGTTTCGTCGTGAGAAGAGTTATCGAAACCGTGGAGTTAAACGAGTGGTCGGTGGTAAATGATCGTGTAATTATTATTATTCGCGAAAAAGGGTTACTTACGAAAACAAAACGTGTGGTGGTAAAGTAAAGACGTGATTACAAGGGAGCAACGCGTGCGCGCGCGCGTTAAATATTTTTCCAACAGGCGAGGCGAGAAAGCGCATTGTGTGTACGCTAAAGAAAAATGGCGGACGGGGACTCGAGGGTAGATCGCTCTGACCCGGAGCTTAAAATTCTTTCTGTGGATAGGAACAATTTCAATGACCCGGCTACCCAGGCGGAATGGACTCAGAAAAAATTGGTATGGGTACCACACGAAACACAGGGTTTTGTTGCTGCCGGTATCAAAGGGGAGCGTGGAGACGAGGTCGAGGTGGAGATTGCCGAGACCGGCAAAAGGGTCCACGTTGCCAAGGACGATATCCAGAAGATGAATCCGCCCAAGTTCGACAAGGTCGAGGACATGGCCGAACTCACCTGTCTCAATGAAGCCTCTGTTCTACATAATCTTAAGGACCGTTACTACTCTGGATTAATTTATGTGAGTAACTCCAATTTTTTTTTTTTCACTTTCCCTAGTGTCATAAGTATTGTAATTTTTTACTTAAAATTGATGTAAATTGTGTTCGAAGACACTTTGTTTTCATTTAAAGAGATTTCGAATTGATCAGGTTGAATTAGTTCCTGGCATGACTTATGCCGGGCAATCTAACCTCAAACTCTTGTGGCCCTTTATTGTTTGTCGGTATTTAAATTAGGTATATCTTTGTTTATGTGTTACAATTAAATTCAAAATTTGAAGCATATAATTAGAATTGTATTTTTGAAATAGTAATTTGTAGAAAGACTCATTTGATTGTTAGATTAGAACGGTTATCCTTTGCAGCTGCCATTGGCTGCGCGAGTTTCCTAACCATAAAGCACACCTACTCTCACCAACTCAGTTTCATTGGCGGAAAGTGAACCGACGAGGCGTCGTAATGCGGAATCGAGAGTATTTTTTGCAATGAGCACACGATCTTTTCTTGATTATAAAAAGAAAAAGAATGAAACTGCAAGTGAAAAGATCTTGAGGTTTCTAACCTCTCAATGAATCTTGCTTATATATGTATACAATTTTCTTTATTGATGTTTGTTATCAGAAGAAAATGAATATTCAAAGCGCATAAACAGATGTTTATTAAATACTACACAATGTACGTGAATTGAATACGTTTTATTTATGAGTACAATATATATATATATAGAGTGAGAGAGATATAGATAGCTGTTCGAGGATCACTGGACTCGCAAAGTGATTGCATCTCTATCTGTCATTTGTGCAACAAGTACAGCATCCGCAGGCGATAGACTGAGAGGAAGGGCGTTATTCCAGCTTTTCTTAACTTGATTAAAGAGTTTTATTAAGTTTACGAGTTGAGATAATTGATTTATTGCGGCTGTCAAAAGCATATGTTCTTCGCTTTGTCTCCTTTAATAATATCGTTAAATTAACATTATTTCATATTTAGTTAAAATTTGAACTAAAATTGAAAAATTCGTTTTCCATTGTTGATTAATTTGAAATTAAGGTTACATTTCATATTTATCTTCTTTTTCATCATTGATTACAAAATTGTGAGACTTATGAAAGGATAGTTTGCAGATTTTTTTTTTTTTTTTTATTTAATTTCTTTCACAACTCTGTTATATTGAAAGTTTAGGCAGGTAAATTCTCACCTAAGTGAAAATGATGATTATTTGCAGTGGCAGAATTATTTAAAATTCACGTCTTTCAACAGTAATTATGCAATCAACATAAAAGCAGTGTAAGAAAGTAGTACGAAATATTTCAACTATTTCAGAGAATCGAGAGAGATTTCTATATAGGTGTATAGGATGGTTTTTAAAAAAGTTAAACATTTCGAATTCCGCTTAGTTTGTTTCGTCATAAAGGAAAATATTAGTGATCAAACAACAAAATGTTTCTTATAACATTTTTTTAATGTAATTGCATATATATGTAAACTTGCATTTCTCGACTAAGAAGAAAATTATAGTTTAGTTAACAAGGTATAGAGAAGAAGGTGGAGAACTCATTTTAGACAATTGGACTTTATCTTTTATTTTGACAATAATATTTTTAAAATATTGAATTTTAAATTAATGAATTTTGTCGAATAACAAAAGAAAAATTGTTTATAGTTATCTTTTAAGACCTTTGAACCATCATAAAAAGATTCAAGAATAATATTTTTTCTTTGTGAATTTAGAATATAGATAAGATTGAATTTTTCTTCGTTTCTAAACGTGCAAATAAATGAATTTTTTTTTTGTATCTTTAGATTCAAATTTTATAAATTTTTTTTTATTTTTTATTTAGTTTTACATTAAAATATAAAATTGAAAAAAACATGTTTATAATTTTGTATCAATTTAAAAAAAAAAAAACTAATTTATGATTTTAGTTTAAAAAAATATTTTACTGTCGTAAATTATTTTTTTTTTTGAATATTTAATTTTCATAAACGTTTCAAGTTTTAGAAACATATAAATTATTCTAACACTGGGTAATAAAATATTTTCTAAAACCATATAAAATCAGTTCTTTGTTTCAGTGTTAGACATTTCTATTATATATTCGTTTCCTAGAGGTGCTTATCAGTTGCGATAAAATTAACCTTTTTCAAGTAACCAACTCATATTACTTATATATATGCAACTTTTAAAGCAAATTCTTTAATTTCAATGGAATTACCTTTTTTCTTTAATTTGATATGTTCATAAAAATTAAATAACAGTTTTGCAGTATTTGTATACGCTTATGCTACAAAGTTATAAACAATGTTTTTTCAAAAGTTTCAATTAGTTCAACTAATTTTATATTATTTAACATGAAAATATATATTTTCTTTTAATAAAAGTTAGACTAATAAATTCTATATTTCTGTCTGTAAAATATGAATTTGGAGCAAATTTTGTTTTTTGTGTTTTAATAAAATAAAAAATTGTTATATTCAGATTAAAAATTTAGACAAGAAAATAGTGATTAATTTAGTTTTGACAATGTTGTCGTGGGAAAAGGTCTGTTCTCTTTTAAATAATGACCCTGCTCTGATTTTGTTTTGGTTAGGGAACCTTGACTTGTCGCTACGTGACTGTTTCTTTGCAAATTTCACGATTTCCTCTCAGAGGCAGACGAGTCGATAATTTCTTACAAATACAAATCATGAACATGAAGAATTATTGATATATTTATTTTACTATTTTAATTTATTAATTAAATTTTTTTTAAAAATTATTTTCATTTAAGCAACTTAATGACTTAATATTATTCATAACAATAATTTTATAATTTATATTAAAAAATTATAATTTCTAAATTACAATTTTTCTCTAAAAAAAAAAAATGAATTTAAACGCTAAATTTGAATAAAGCAAATTTTTTCTTTAGTTATTTTTCTGGTCTTGGTGATGAATATACTTTGTGTAGATAATTGAAATCATGTGTCATTTAACTCTCTCTCTCTCTTTTTCTCTCTGCAGAAATAGCATATATACTACAGTCGAATATAGTTACAATAAAAATACATTTCACCGGATATATTTTATCGCGACTTCGTATCAGTCATCGCATCATCTTTGGTCATAAAAAGATTGCTGAACTGTCATAAAATTCAATCGTTACACACTTTTTACGAATACATATACATATATACATATTTTTCTTGGTGACAATTATATTTAATGTTTCAGCACAATATGAAGAATGTTATTGATATTTTAATGTCTTTTTAAATTCAATTCATTTCATAAATTAATTTTTAATACATTGTATTTAAAGAGTTTCGAGACACATAAAATATGATTCTCTATAAAAATCAAAAGTTGGAATTTCCAATGTTTCGAAATTCATATGTGATTGAATTTCTATTTAATTGAAGTTTTTTTTTTACAATTTTAGCTGAATTTTAATTTCAGTAAAATTTTAATTTGACATAATTTCTTCTAATTTTGTATTTCGATTTCAAATAGTGTTTTGCCTATATATACAGTTTGTTATTATGTCTGATTCGATTGGACCTATACCTGTTAAAGAACCTTGACATTCCGATGTTTAAAAAAAAAAAAATTATTCACAGAACTCAGAAAACAATTTCTATATATTGAGAATCTCACTAATCATTGCGATGTTAAATGAAAACCTTGAATTGCAAAATGAAGTTTGCATATCGTATATATGCCAAGATAAATAGTTGTGGATAGAAAATTAAAAAACCATCACGTTATCGTTGAAAATATCGGAATCATTTATTTGAGGGCGGTTACATTTTCATATTTTTCTCTGTCGATTCATTGACAGAACTCAATTTCTTTTGGTCGTGACGACCTCTTTTACCATCGATGAAACTCCCAAAGGTTTTAAATCTTAAAACGTCCATCGTGACCGGCTTGAAGTGACTCACGCGTGACTGATTCAGCAAACACTAGTCGTGAGGGAGGAACAGAGAGAGAGAGAGAGAGAGTGGCTACAAAGAAAACGAGATGGATTGAGAAAGCAAAAAAAAAAAAGGAAGGGAAGAGAGTGAGAAAAAAAAGGTTATAGAGATTTCGTGAAAGCAAAGGAAAGACTTAGGGAGAAAGAGAAAGAGAGAGGTTATCTTTGTTTAGGGTTAGGAAGAGATGAAGGAGGAGAGAATGTGTGTGAAGGAGGAGGAGGAAAAAGAAAGAGAGAAAAAGATTCGTTAACAGATTGCTCTCCAGTAGAACATAAGACGCCATTTTGCAAATTCGAGAGTTGTCTGCGAAATGCATGACATGCTGTTTACTCTTGCGAAAATTTTATAAAAACTTTTTTTTTTTTTTTTTTTTTTGAAGCGTCAGCAAAATGCCTTTAATGTTTCGTAAAACTCTTCTGACTTTATGCTGGCAAACGAGCACGACCGGACGTGCTTTGGTGACCAGAGAATTCTTGGGAAAAACCAAACCCAAATATTTAATTCTCAATTTAAAGTTCAATTTTTTTTTTTTTATATCGCAATTTTAATTCTTTTAAAATAATTTCTAAACTATTTTTAAATTAGTTTTTGGTTTTAAAAATTCAAATTAACGGTTGTTATTTTCTTTTTTAGTGATGAAATAATAGGAAAAGAAAATCAGTTTCGTTTTTTGGTGATCGACATTATGGAAGTTTCCTTAAATTAGAATAGTAGAAAAACTTGTTTAGATTTCTTTTGGGAATAGAGAGAGAGAGAATCCTTAAAACTGGTTTTTGTACAAATCGACATAAATTGTGTTTGTAGTAATTTCAAAGAGACATTATTTAGTATTCGAATGTAGCAACGTAGACTAAAAGAGAAGGAGGAGGGGAACTACTATTTTACATGCAACCTTCGTTCGTGAAGATAAGCGGTAAAACATATTCAGGAATTTTCGCAGAATCGGGAATCGATCCACCGTTATGAGTATAACGTTTGTGATCATAAAGTAAATTTCCTCGAGAGAGAAAAAAAAACTTCCGGCAGATCTATTTTTATATCCTCACAGAGAAGATAGTGTAAA